CTGAGCTGGACTTTATGGAAGGAATTAAGAACTGGCAGAACAGGAATGTTCAACGGAAAGTGTGAAGCTTCCAATTGTTTTATATTATATATAAAAGCAATTACGTATACAGTAAAGCACTCCAGGACGTTACCCTGTGTGACGGGCGCCATATAAACACAAGTTGTTATTAAACTCCTGATAACTCGTCGCTCCGAGGGAAAAAGGGCTCAGTGACGAGTTATCTGGCGTGGCCGGTTAGGCGTGTGTATAAATACATATATAAATGTGGCCGGGATATTAATAGCGTGATGACTTAAGTGAGAGTGACAAGTTAGACCAGGGTCATAGGAGCCTAAGAGTCTCCTGTATATAGCAATATATAGAGCAATTTTATGGAGCAGTTTAAACGCAGCTTTCTCCCATTGACCTGGCCAACAATTCCCCCCCCCCCCCCGATTAAAATTGGTCATGTATTTCACGGCTGTTATGCGGGATGTTGCCTGCCCCTTTCACCTACAAAAATCCACATTACGGTAAAATCCCGTGAGAGTCTTCTTGGCGATTCTGATTTTGATCATTTAAAAAAATTACAATGTGTGCAAATTTCCCCTTTTTTCTTATCCCTCCCACCCCCACCCCCACCCCCTTTTGTCCCTTATCTTTTCCTCCTTAAGACACTGAGCCCCACTTGGGAGTGGAGTGAGCACATGCTGTGCGCAATTGACTGCTCCGTTTCGCCCGAAAACGCACACAGTCAATACACTTTGCAGTATATCCTGCGAAGCGCGTTGAGACACCTCGGAGACACAATAGAGCCAAATATCAAATGCAAGGATTATTATTATTATTATTATTATTAATCACCCACGTGTCTGGCAGAGGTGTGGAAACCTGGTGGAAGTTAATGATTCTCTGGAGTAGCTGAGGTTAACCAGTAACAAACACAAAAGAGAGGACAGGGGAGAGAGCCCAGTAGAAGTTTGGATGAACTGCAGCTCAGCCTTGTGCCCAGTCCTGCTCTTTAACACAGCGTAGTTCACTCTTAACGGGCAGAGAGCTTGTTAGGCTGCATTCCACTGTTGCACCCCCTGAGCTGGCTTTCCGAACAGAGGAATTTACGAACTGGCAGAACAGGAATGTTCAGCGAAAAGTACGAAGCTTCAAACCAGTGTTTAAATGAATCTATTTCTTTTTTTAAACAATGAGTAACAAGGCAAAATGGTTATTGCCTCTGGCGAGGGAAACCAAGCAAGCGTGCGTGTGTGTGTGTGTGTGTGGGGGGGGGGGGGGTGGGATGGGGAGAGGGTAATCGCCAAGAGAGTAATGCAACCTTGTAACGCAGTGAGTTGCATCCGAGTGTAGTCACTGTCACATCGCAGGATAACGATAATTAAATAATGATCTGGCATTTCATACAGTGCCTTTCACGCCGGGAGAACATCTCAAAGCGCTTCACAGGACACACTGTAAAGTGCGGTGACCGTATATTTTGTGGGTGAAACGCGGCAGCCTGTTTGCGCGTAGCGACGACCCCGCCATGGAGTGAGCAACCGACTTTTATTTGCTGGGTGGCTGTTTGCGGGGACGTTGCTGTGTGAAATTGTGCTGCCGCTTTTGCCTACAAGCACACAGTCACTCCATTCCACAGTAAATCTTTGAGGCGGGATAAGGCGCGAGACCAAAATTCAAGGGTTGTTATGATTATAATAGAGCACTGGAGCAGGCATCTCTCACGAGATCCGTTCAAGCGCAGAACATCACCTCTCAGCTCAGCCCGTGTCCATATTTCACTCCCTTGTTTTGTAGAATTGTAGCAAAGAGAAGTGTGTGACCGGACAGAGTCCGATAGATCATTAACAGCAGCCGCTGCTCTAAGGTACAGTTTGCTACTGTTCCTTTGAATATTAACGATAATCTTTGCCTTGAGTTCTCCTCTGTCCGGTCGTCCAGTAACCAACGCGTTGTTAACAAAGTTGAGCCCTTTCGAAGCTCTCCGAGCTGTGTGGGGGGTGTGGTGGTGGGGGGGAGGGAGTATGCAGGAGCTTTGTTTTGCCAGCAAAGTGCCATGAGGCACACAACCGGACACGAGGCTTGAACCCGCAAATCTCTGCGCCCGTGTCCCGTGTCCTTGAAAATCTGCAGCTCGCTGTTTATACATTCGTTGGCTTTGGCACTGGAAGGAAACTGCAAGGGTAACTCTGTATCTCCAGTGGGGAAGGAAGCTCGTATCATCTGAAATTGTATTGCTGCGTTCCACAACTGTCTCGTAACTCTCTCTAAAGTAGTTTGGTTTGAAAAGGAGTATTGCATTAGTCAGGGAATTGCTGGTGAAAAATCGTTAGGTGCAGCGCTGGCAGCTATTGATTTGATACTCAAAGTCCCTTTAATGTATGGGATCTCGGTAACAGCAAACTCAGCACCTGCGCGCTCAAGCAGTTTTCACCTTCATCTCACGTGAGTCGAATACTTCCAGCACCGCTTTACAAATGTCATTTTGCATTGTGTATAAACGGAGCTTATCGTCAACGACGATAATGATAACTAATAAAACTAAGCCTTGTATTTTGCACGGCGCGTTATCGCGTCGCAACATTTCAAAGCGCTTCAGAACTTTCTGTAAAGTGCAAACGACTGTGCATTTTGTGGGCGAAACTCGGCAGGACAATTTGCGCACGGCAATGTCCCAGAAACGACAACAAGTGAAGCGAGTGGCCAATTTTATTTGGGGGATTGTTGGCCTGGACACCGGGGGGGTGGAGAGAGAGAAACTCCCTTTTTTTTCCCGAATAGTACCAGGGGATCTTTAATGTCCACCTGAACAGGCAGAGGATTAAAATCTCATCCGAATGACGGCACCTCCGACAATGTATTACCACCCCCCACCGCACTGCATTGCAGTGTCAGCTCAGACAATGCGATTCCAAGTCCCGAAGTGGGGCTTGAACCCCTCATCCTTCTGACTCGGAGGCGAGAGCGCTATCGCTGAGCCAGGCCGACGCACATTGCAGACTGCGGCTTGGCAAGGCGTCAGCTTAACCGCATTCCAGTGCAGAGAGAATTCCTCGCGCACAAACGTCCTGAGCGGTTTGGTAAAGGGCACTCACTTCACAAGACCTCGATAATGCCGGAGTTCCAGAGTTGCTCAGGCTATGCCTCAGTGAACACACAGCCAGTCTGGCACAAGATCTAGAATGTTAATGCCGTAATAATAATAATAATTAGTGATAATAATAATAATCCCTGGATTTGATCTTGTGCCTGAAATGTCTTCGAAGCATTTTACAATGTGACGACCGTTTGTAGGCAAACGCACCAATAATATCTCTCCTCACAACAGTGCCCATTCCCTTCGCTCCACCGGGTCTGGCCTCCTCCTCGTCCCCCGAATCCTCTGCTCCACCATCGGCGGCTGTGCCTTCAGCCACTACGCCCCGAGGCTCTGGAACTCCCTTCCCCACTCCCTTCGTCTCGCCCCCTCTCTTCCTATTTTCAGGTCTCGGCTGAAGACCTTTCTTTTTGACCGCGCCTTTGGTCACCTTCCTCCCCCTCCCCCCGGCTCCTCCCGCTCCCCCTGGCTCAGCCACGGGATCTGTTACTGTGATGCGCTCTGAGACGCCGTCCGGCGTGGAGAGCACTATGTAAATCCAAGTTATTGTTGTTGTAATAATAATCCTTGCATTTGATGGAGGGTCCTGTCACGTCGTCGAGACGTCTCAAAGCGCTTCACAGAATATCCTGTAAAGTGTAGTGATTGTGTTTTGTGGGCAATCATACAGTGAGATCCACCACCAACAGTGTAGTCAACGACCGCTTTTATCTGGGTGAGGGTGGATTGTTGACCACGACCAGGAGAGAAATGCCCTGGTCTTAGTCAACAAACCCACCGTGTTGTTTAATATGTGTTACACTGGGAGCTCAGGCTGATATCTCATCTCATGGGCAGACTGGGGCCCTTTTCCTAAAATACTGAGGCAGGTCTCACCGTTGGGTAACTCTGACTGTACTCCAGAGTCTGGTTTACACAATGTCTCTATCTGTCTCCGGTTTACACCATCTCCCTGTCTGTGTGTGTCTCTGGTTTACACAGTTTCTCTACCTGTCTGTCTACAGGTTACACAGCGTGTAACTGACCTGCCTGTGTCGCTGGTTGACACAGAATGTCTGTCTACCTGTCTAAATTTACACCGTCTGCCTGTCTGTGTCTCTGGAATCCCTGGTAGTGATCACACGGTGTAATCTAATCAAAGTCATGAGTAATATAAGCATCAGCTGAGCTCTCAGATAAGATTACGGCCTCGAAATGGCTCCTATTTTCTCTCTTAGATTTTTCTCTGATACGGTTTACCTTGACAATATTTATAAGCATTATTTGTAACAATAACAACAACAACAACTTGCATTTTTATAGCACTCTTCACGATGGACGGTACTTTGGAGCGCCTAAATTCTACGTTCCTACGTCCCTTCGAGTGAGGTACATAGGAATTGGTGGATGAAAAAATACCAAGGTCCATCTAGTTCACCTTCTACTGTCCTGGCAGTCACATGTTACAATAACGGAGATGTTGATAGCAATTAATTCTGCATAGATTAGTCTACAACACAGTGGAAAGTTTTGGGAAGCTTAGACCCCAAAGTTGCCTGGTTCTTCCGAGCCACACGATGCTTTACTGTATGTCATGTTTCAAATCACTCGTGTTCTGTATCCCAAAATGTTTGTTTTCTAAAAGAAATCGTTCTAACTTGCATTTGACTGAATTCGACAGGTCAGAGAGTTTAGGAGACGGAGCCTGGGAGCTTGTCTCGCACGTGCTCTCATGTCTCAATTCCCGCTTTGGTCTCGCTTCTGATTCCTGCCCGTGGAACCTCCTGGAGACCTCCTCCGCGGGTCGAAGGTGTTCGCCTCGGACCCGCGGTGGTCGGGCGGGCAGGAGTGGGACACCGGTGCCCCACGGGGTTTGGGCTGGTATCTCGGGGAGTGTCTCACGAGTCTGGTTTGTGCCGTTGCTGTGTTTCAGGGCCGTTGTCTCCCCCGCTGAGCTGAGATGGTCGCTCGATGCCACTGAGGGTCGGGGGCCGCTGCGATGGAGCTGAAGGTGTGGGTGGACGGGGTCCAGCGTGTGGTGTGCGGAGTCACCGAGGAGACCACCTGTCAGGAAGTCGTGATCGCGTTAGCGCAGGCCATAGGTGAGTGGCCGTTACCTGTCATCAGCTGGGATGGGACTGGACTGAAGTGGTGAGAGGTAGGAGTGGGGGTTGAGGGAGAAAGAGAGAGCACTCCCCCACAGCCTGTGCTGAGTTAGTTGATCTTCGGGGAGGGCAGCAATCTCTTGTGTTTCTAAACAGCTGATTAATTATTATTTTATGTCGGACGTTTCCTTGTGCTCCCTGCTTCGGCTGTTCTTCGTCCTGAGACACGCAGCTGTTCCGTGGAAACCCTTGTCCTTAGGCCTCCGTATTAATTACTATTAATTATCATTAATTATTAGTAGTAATAATAACGTCGCTCGCATCCAGATTCATTCTTGCACATTTACGCAGCGACTTTCACGTTGGGAGGACGTCCCAAGGCTCTGGACAGTCGAGGGTTTGCAACCGAGCTGGGGGTGGGGATCAGGAGGAGGGGTGTGGGGGGGAGGGGGTAGGAGTATGGACCGAAGGCGCGGTCAAAGAAGGACTTGAGCCGGGTCTTGAAGGAGACAAAAGCGAGGTGAACGGACTGGGAGGGAGTTCCGAAGGGCGAGGGGCAGAGAGGCTGAAGGCCGTGGAAGGCTTTGAGAGCGAGGACGAGTTTGACTGACTGCTGGAGGAAGGAAAGACCCCCCTCCCCCACCCCACAACCCCCTTCACACATCCCCGTCCCAGTTGTGATGCCTCTCGGTCTCTTGTGTTTGACTCTCGCTCTGTTTTCAGGTCAGACCGGCCGCTATGTGCTGATCCAGAGGCTGCGGGACACCGAGCGGCAGCTGTTGGCTGGGGAGAGCCCTCTCCAGCTGTTGACCAAGTGCGGGCAGTACGCCAACGATGTGCAGTTCATCCTGCGCCGCACGGGCGCCAGCCGCTCCGAGAGGCCCGCCTCAGACGAGGGCTCGGCCAGGGGTCCGGATCGGACGTTCGGGAGACCCGACCTCCCCGTGGCCCTCACCCCCACCCTCCCGGGGGGGACCCAAGCCCCGAAGCGTAGGGAGCCCAAAAAATCCTTGACGTTCACTGGAGGGACGGCATTGGGTATCACGCAGCTCACCGGCAGGGACAAGTGGCGGGAACGCAAGCAGAACGGGACGCAGGAGAGGACGAGGGGAGCGTCGAACAAGGAGGAACTATTTAAGATGATTCTTCAGCAGAAGGAGATGCTGCACTCGGTCGCTGCCCAGCACGAGTCCGTGGACCGGGAGATAACGTCCCAGGAGCAAGCCACTGTCTCGGACTTCGAGAGCGAACTGGTGCGACTGGAACGACTGGTGAGGGGGAACGAGGGGGAAATCCGGGAAGGGGAGTTTTGGGAGAACGAGCTGGAGATGGAGAGGAGCCGGGAGCACAAGCTGCAGGAAAGCTTGGGGGAACTCAGGAAGAACCTCAAGGAGAGCGTGCAGAGGCTGCAGGAGGTGAGCAGCCGGAGTCAGGACCTGGACAGGGAGCTAACGCAGGAGAGAGACACGGTGAGACGGCTCAAGGCTGCTCACAGACTCAGTCTGACTGGGACAAAAGAGGCCTCAGCCAGAATAAGGGCGGAGATTGAGGCCAAGGAGCAGGAAACCTTACAAATACAGGCTTCAATCATTGAGGTAGAAAGGGCCCTGGAGCAAGCAGTCATGAGCTCACAGGTGAGTCCTATCCACCCTTGTACTTCTTGTTTAAAAACGGCAAAAAAGTGGTTCCTTTAGTGTGTAGGTTGGCTTTTAAAATTTACTTATATATCCAGCGCTACACCAGAGTCCTGTGGAATCGTATTGCACTGTTTTGTGCTCAATTGGCTGCCGCGTTTCACCCACAAAATACAGAGTTAATTCACTCTACAGTGTATTCTCTGCAGTGCTTTGAGGCGTCTCAAAGACGTTATAATGTGCTATATGAAACGTAAGGATTTTTACTACTACAGTAAAACTCATGTAAGTCGTATCAGTTGGAACCAGAACAATTGAAACGACTTGTACAAAGTATGACACAAAAACTTGCATAAGTTTTATCATATGACTTCTGGGAAGTTGCGCAAGTCGGATTTTATATGACTAATGCACAATAAAATACATCTTGCATTTGATACATAACAGAAGGACATCTCCTCCCGCTTCACGGGATATAATCTAAAGTCCTGAAGTTCTGCCAAAAATGTCGATGATGTCGCAGGAGTGCAGAACCTCAATTCACTTCAGGTTGGATTTGAAAAAAAACTCACAATTTAAAAGGCGAAAATGGATCGCAGCCTAAGGCGATGTGGAATTTGGGGTCTCCTGGGAACGCTTTAGACGTCTGAGCTTGTGGCACGGTTTCGCTAGGCTGTCACCAAACTGTTACGAAATGTTAGATCGCTTTGTGCGCAGCTGATAAATCGCCCTTTTGTTTGACTCCTGTTTATTAATAAAATAAAGCAGGTTTTGGTCAATGTGGCGAGTGGACTCGAGCACCACCCCGTGGGTAAAGCTGCTCATTGCACAATTAAATGAAACTTCTTTTCCCCACTTATATTGTCTTTCCTTGTACTGCAATGATTATTATGATTGATAATTATACAATTGATAACAAGGAAAGACAAATGCAAATGGGGAAAGAAGTAATAATATTATTAATAATAATAATACTTGCATCTGATTCAGGATCTTTCACACCGTTGAAACGTCAAAGCGCTTTGCAGATTTTTTTTTACCGTTGTGGTAAAGTGTAGTGACAAACCCGACGGGCGTGAAGCGAATGGACCAATTTTACTCAGGAGAATTGTTGGCCAAGGCATGTTCGGGTAGACCTTAAAAATCCCACCCGACAAGAAAAAGGAGTTGCTCCTGGATGACAATGACCCCTGGATAAAAATCGGTCCCTCACTTCATGACCATTTATGGGGCGTTGCTGTGTGCATATTGGCTGCCACATTTGCCTACAAAATACACAGTCACTGCACTTGACAGTAACATTCCATGAAACCCTTTGAAACAGCTCAATGACTCAATAAGGCACTGTATCAAATCCAAGGATGATGATGATTTTTAATGACCAGTGTTTGTACTGATTATTTCCCCTCAATTCATATTGAGATGCGACGCTGAAATGTATCGTACATGATGCCGTGGAGCTTGATGATGAGCCTGTGTTGAGCTCGGGGAGTCTGGGGGTCTGTGGAAGCAAACCCATCCCAGCCCGCCTCTGGTGGGCGTTAGCTTGAGGAACGATTTCTCAATCCCTCTGTTTATTCATCATTTGCTGCTGTAAACGATTACAACCAAATTCCTGCTGAGCAACCATCAAATTAATCACAGTGAAAGCGTGGGGGTGGGGAGGGGGGGGAAACCCATTAACGTTGGCTCCAGAATAAAACCATTTGAGTCAGACTCATCATTCAATGTGACTGGCACCTGTCTGTCAAAAGTAGCACAGCTCGCTCTTTCACATTAATTGCAATCCTCTCTCTTTTTTCTTCCCTGTTATTGTTGACAGCAGCTCATCACTGGTACCTGTTACCGTCATGCGTATTTTTTTTACACAGCGCCTGACCAACAACTGAAACGTGTGGAAGAGTGATGATAATTGTATTTAGAAGTACTTCATTGTGTTCAGTACAGGTGTTAAATTGTGCGTGAGGGTGAGTGTGTGTGTGTGAGGGTGTGTGTGTGATTGGGGTGTGTGTGAGCGTCATCCGTTTTCATGGCAGATAATGATCTGATGCCACATTTGGGGACGACATCTTCTGCAATATGAATGGAGTCAGTGAGGAGGAAGTTACTGGGATCGGACATTGTTACACTCGTCTCATCTGCATCAGAAAAAAAAAAAATTCTTTGTAATAAAGTGGGTAACAGGGCTTTGAGAACACCTGTAGAAAGCTTGAGCGTTGCAGCTCTGGGGCGGTCCATTAAGTGGCTGCTATCTTCACCCCTCCCACCACCGCCAGTCTAATCCCACTCTCCTAAAACTAGGTGGGATTTCAGGCCCCTTAAGCCTCTGTAATGCTTAACTTATGTTTGTTTCCAATGGGGTTTTATAAATCCAAAATAATTTGATCACTCAATCCACTGCCGTTTGTGGGGACACTGCCGTGCGCGATTGGCTGCCGTGTTTCGCCCACAAAACACACAGTCAATTCACTTTACGGTGTATTCTATGAAGTGCTTCGAGACGTCTCGGAGACGTGATAAGGCGCTATGTCAAATGCAAGGATTATTATTAATTACTGTTGTTGGATTCTATTATTTGTTGGGAGTGTTTTATATACTGTTAAAGATGCTGGCGTGTCTGTTCTGTTCTCGACTTCTGAATGAGGCTCGTGTTTTCAGGGCAGAACGCAAGAGCTGGAAGAGTTAAACAAAGAGCTGAGACAGTGTAACTTACAACAGTTTATCCAGCAGACTGGGACCTCAGCGGCAGTGTTCCAATGGAAACCCGAGGACGAGGAGCAATTAAGCAACTTCGCACACCAGCTGCCACCCAGTCACAGGAACGGAGGTGAGAGAGCGCCTGGCGCTGCCCGCAACCTCGGTGGCCACGTCCCCCACCCCTCCCCACACTCCCTAACCCTCCCCAGCTCGGGCGCCCGGCCAACTGTGTAAAGCGCCTTGTGACTTCCTCCCGACATGAAAGGCGCTGTGTATAACTGTAAATGATGTTGTATAAACCTCAACAATTTTTTGTTTTGTTTTTGGGTGTTTGTGTGTATGTGCCTGTCTGTGTGTGTGTGTTGTATGTGTGTTTGTGTGTGTATGTGTCTGTCTGTCTGTCTGTGTGTTTGTATGTGTGTTTGTGTGTGTATGTGTCTGTCTGTGTGTGTGTTTGTATGTGTGTGTGTATGTGTGTTTGCCTGCGTCTGTTTGACTGTGCATGTGTGTTTGCGTGCCTATGTCTGTCTGTGTGTGTGTGTGTGTGTGTGTCTGTGTACGTGTTGTGTATGTGTATGTATGTGTGTCCCTGTCCTGTTCCTCCGTAGATATTCACATCTCTGACCCTGACTCACCTCCACGACCGACAACAAAACAGTTCCTGGGTAACCCACGCAACCTGCAGAATCCGCTGGTGTCCAGCCTGACCCCGGGAGGTGTGTTTGTTTGATCTCACGCTGACACCAGCCTCGCCGTGACCGCTGGCCTGTCCTGGCACTCGGAACGGTGATGCCTGATGCGAAGCTCTCTTTAAACTGTGAACTCGCCAGCGTTTTGAACACATGAACTTTTATTTCTGGGCTTTCTCTCTTTCTCTTTCTCTCTCTCTTGCGCTTTCTTTCATTCATTCATTCTCTCTCTCTCTCTTCCTCCCTCCCCGTGACGCTCTCTCTCTCTCTCTGTCTCTATATACTGTAGTCAATATGTATGTATGTAATAATAGGTTTGTACTAGAAAGCTATCACAAGGGGCTTCAGTCAATGCAAAATGTTAACTCAATTAACATTTTTCCAGGTTAGTTTTCCTTGTGCCACAATTTCCTCACGTGGGACTGCGATCCCTACAATAACACAGAATAAATCCGATTTTGTTCTCCATCTCCCCAGGCCCTCCCCGACAAGTGTCGCTGAACATTTTCTCAATTTTTTTTTCTCTCTCTCCCACCCCCCCACCCCCTCCCCCAAATGCTGGTGTCGAAGGAAGCTTTCCCAGACTTGCCTTTAGGATTTACTCTCGGAAATCCGGGATTCTATGTAAAGGACAGAGGTGCGTTTCCCCTCCGTGTCGCTCAGGAATGAGTTCTTGCTGAAGTGTTTCTTTTATAAGTAGACGTTAAAATAAAATCGCACCACAGCAATGCTGTAAAAGTGAATGGGTGCAGACTCAATGGGCTGAATGGTTTCCGCGCTGTGAGATTCCTACAAGAGCCCAGATTTCTGTGTTGAACATGGCTTTGCCACCCAGCGTTTTACACTCGCTTTGTCTTGGTTCCTTTTCCTCAACCTCCTGCTGGACCTGGAAACTTCACTGAAACCCCTGTTAGGAAGGTCTTATCTTGCGAGGCTTTTATTGTTTGAAGGAAGGTGTTCTCTGTGCCAGGGTTAGTGGTCTGTCCCAGGAAACGAGGGCACCCAGCTGATCTCCTGGAGAAGGGACTGTTCTGAGGTTAAAATTCCACCTGACTTACTCCGTTTTCGTAGCATCAGCACTGGGGCGAATCTGTTGATTTTTTTTCCGTTTCGGCTTAAGCCATTATTTTGGGGGTTCTTATTAATAATTCTAATAATTATAGTGATAAACCTTTTGCATTTGGTGTAACTCCTTTCACATCATGGGGACGTCCCAAAGATCTTCACAGGATATTATATAAAAATAATCCTTGCGTTTGATACATAGCGCTTTATCATGTCGTTGAGATGTCCCAAAGCGCTTCACAGAATATACTGTGGAGCGAATTGACTGTATATTTTGTTGGCAGAACACGGCAGCCAATTTGCACGGAGTAGTGTCCCACAAACAGCCATGATGTGAATGACTCAATTTTCACCGGGGGCTTGGGGGGGAATGGGGTGGTGTGGGGATTGTCAGCCAGGACACCGGGGGGAGAGAGAGAAAAACACCTCTCTTTTCCAAATAGCGCCACGGGATCTTTAACATCCACCTCGAAAGAAACGTACAGTGGGGGGGGGAAAAAACAGTTTTGAGAATGCTATTTTAAGATTTTATCAAATTTTGCTCTGAAATGCTATGTCGGCCGAGACGGGTGGAATTTTACTATCTTATTCCATGACGTGTCTGTCCTTTTCTGTTCTATCTGTGCATCGCGGATGCTCACAGCTTGCACTACACTTAAGTCATTCCGGAGAATACTGCGTATTGCAATGACATCGGCTTGTAGCAGATTTCACCTGCGTTGACGTTTTTTTTAAAAAAAACATTTATTGTACAGCGACTGTTTTATTTTGTAAACTTTTTTTTAATTTTAAATAAAGAACAAATGCAAAAGCGATTTTTTTTTAAAAGAGATGAATGTTCGGAGACTTACAATACACAATCTTTTTGTTTCAGAATTTCATCATTGGAGAGAGTAGATAGCTGGCTAAAACGGCAAGATACACTATTTGAAGCTGTTATCTGAATTCAGTTTGATACTGTTTTTTAAACAGGAAAGAAACCTCACCCAACAATGACATGTACATTCCAATTTACCTTTTTACATTAGCAGGTTGACTCGTTACATTTGCCTGGTTGTATAAAGATGTCTAACGTTATAAAGTATTTTAATTATATGCAAAAATAAACCAGAATTGCAAATTGACTTTTGTGTTCCGTAGTTTCTGTTTCCTTTTGACAGTCTCATGACGTGAAAAGCACTTGTAAATTTGTATTGCGAAGGTTACTGGATCTTTCCAGGGGGTTGGGGGGAAAAGTGGTAAAATGGGACTGCATTCCAGATAGTAACAATGCTGTGTGTGTAAAAAAAAAGAATTTCTCCTCATCTCCCCTCTGGTTCTTTTGCCAATCACCTTAAATCTATGTCCCCTGGTCACCAACCCACCTGCCAGTGAAAAGTTTCTCTCCATCTACTCTGCACTAGGAATCGCTGATAAAATGTCAGAGCCCTGAAGCAAGCAGGTTTATTGATGAGTGTCTTGGAGTTGAACCCACACAGGAAGCTTATTATTAGGGTTGTGGGCAGTGCTCTGCATGTGCTGCTGATGTTCTTTGTGCAGGTGGATATTAAAAGATCTAATGACGAAACAAGAAGAGAGTCGTCCCTGGTGACTGGGCCAATAACTCTCCTGGATGAACTGGTCATGAGTGGTTGTTTGTTTGTGGGACAATGTTTTTGAGTGCAAATTAGCTGTATTTGTGTACAGTCGCCGCACTTGGCCTAAGCCCGTAAATTACTTTTGAGACACTTTGGTGTGTTTGGCGCTGTGTCAAGTGCAAAGGGGCTGTGTTTGCAAGCTGACTGCACGCTGGACACAAACAACAACTTGCGCCCTTCTGGGCTTGGTAGCATCCCAGAGTGCTTGACGATGGCTGGGAGGGGGGGGGGGGGGGGGGGAGAGGGAGGTGACCATAGGCAAGGTCGAACAGGAAGGTCTTCAAGAGGGACCTGAAGATGGGGAAGGAAGGGGAAAGGTGGAGGTATAGAGGAAGAGTGTTCCAGAGTTTCGGGGCGTGGTGGCTGAAAGCGCGGCCTCCCAATGGTGGAACGGAGGGCACCGGGGACTTTCGAGCAGAGGCAGCGGGTTGTGGGGTAAGATGATCGGAGAGGTAGGGAGGTGCCAGGGCATGAAGGGATTTGAAACCAAGTGAGAAGATCTTGAAATCGATCTGTTCGGCGACAGCGAGTCAGTGGAACCTGGCTTGATGGGGTAAACTCGTGTGATGGGAGTTATCACACAAGTGAGAGGACAAACTGCTGTCTCTGAGACGGAAATCGTAACCCACCTGTTTCAATAAAATTTGAGATGGGTTTTCACAATAACAGTTGCTGGCTGGTATGCATTTTACAGAGCTGGTGCGCTGACAGGACTGATTGTGTAACGCACTCTGTTTACACACACGCCCCTGTGACTGTTGTGTTTGACTTTCGATCACAACCTAGAGGAGAATCCATTTGCTGGGGTGGGGGGTTGGGTTTCCTTTAAAATGTTGTTGTTGGGAGGGGAATGGTTTCTACAGCGCTTCATAAATAGTTCCATTACTCCATCCCCTTTTTAATACTTTAATCAAAACGATAATTTCACTCTCCCCCTGCAAGGGACTTAAGACAAACATTTGGGTTAAGGGAAGAGGAGTGGTGCAAAATCGATGGCTCTTTCAGAGAGCTGACACGGGCACAATGGGCTGAATGGTCTTATTCTGCGTTATAAAAATTCTACGCTTCTATCTTAAATCGGCAGCTAGGTTCCTTTTTTTTGTTAAAAAAAATATTTTTGAACGTGAACTTGCTTTCCTGAGGTTGATCTGCCGAGCAGGGAGGAAATTCATTCTCCTCGAACCCAAAAACTTGTAACCGTCAGTGATTGAGTCACTACGCTTGGCAGCAATTGCTGGCAAAGTGGTTTGAGGCGACGTGGTGAGGCACTGTGTAAATTATGAGCTTTTCCAAGCAGTCATGTCTCCCATGGGCTTGTTTCACCCCATTGTCTGTGCCTCGAATGACAACATGAGCAAAGAACGCTGTAACTGTCTGTATCACCACCATTCACTAGTGCAGCAGGTCAAGGTGCCCTGAGAGCACGAGACACTCCCTCCCATTACACACAGATATGCTTTGTTCAAGATTTCCAATCGTGTTTTATGCGCTGTGTGTTGCTGCAGGTTCCTTCCCCTGGATTTTCCCTTCCATTTCCAATGCGCTGACTCTTTCCTGGGTCTCCTATCACTCCGCGGCCCCCTCACTCTGCTTGCTAGCCAATTATTGGCCAGGAATATTGACTGTCACTCGGTTTGAATTCTGCAAACAGAAGACAGCCTATTCTCTATCTTCTGCTCTCGGGATTCAAAGCATTACAATCCGGTACCGACAATGCAGTTACACTTAGCCAGAAGTTCTGGCTCACCAGACCAGATCTACCTCCCCATTCCCCGCCACCACCCCCAATAGTCCGGCTAGCCGGGCTTTTAGTGTGTGTAAGTGCAAGCCAATAATAATCCTTGCATTTGATTTTAGTGTCTTTCACATCAGGAGGATATCTCAAGTGCACGTCACAGGGTTCTCTGTGCATTGCGTGGGCGAAACACAGCAGCAGCTTTGCACATACCAATGTCCCACAGACAGCCACAAAGTGAATGACCAATTTTATCAGCGGAACTGTGGCCAGGATACGGGGGGAAACTGCATTCTCTCACCGAATATTGCCACTGGATCAAACGTCAATTGACCAGTGGATGTAATTCCTCCCCCCGCTCTTTCCACTGATTGCTGCAAACCAGCTCAGATTACAAGTTTTTAAAATACATAACAAAGATCCACTTGAACCGGGTTAATCCGATCATATAAAATCCAGTATTGGCTTCCACTTGTTACAGGTCAGATTTATCCTGCAGCTGAATGAGGTTTGTACGGCCAGTCTTTCTCTGGATGTTGATGTTTTCTCACCATTGAGTGGTTGTATAACTGATTACACGTGCACAACCGAGTGACTTCTGCCAGTGGGAACAGCTCTATAATAATCAAGCTGAGCTCTATCGTGTTCGGTTGATAATAGTGCCTTATCAGGCCTTTGAGATGTGTCAAAGTGCTTTACAGAGTATACCGTAAAGTGAATTGATTGTATATTTTGTGGGTGAAACTCGAAAGCCAATTGCGCACAGCAGTGCTCCACAAAGTCTTGGATTTTTTTTAAAAAAAGGGATATTACCCCCAGAAAAGCAATTCGCCAATCGACTAACAACCAGGTTCCTATTTACTGCTGGGTAAACAGAGGCGTGTGGAGAAAGGAAACTTGCCCAACTTTTCGCCCTGCCCAGGAATCGAACCCAGGTGCTCTCGCTTGTGAGGCAAGAGCTCTAACCACTAAGCTACAGGATTCCACAGTTGTATAGTGCCTTTCGAATCGGGAGGACGTTACAAGATGCTGGACAATCAAAGATTAGGACCTGAGCTGGGATGAGTTGGGATCAGGAGGGATGGAGGGCAGGCAGGGTAGGAAGGGGCAAGTGACTGAAGGCATGGGAAGGCCTTGAAATGGGCATTTAAGGAGCCAAGGGAGGGGGACTGTAGGATGGAGTTCCCGGGTATTTATCGAATCTGGATAAATAATTAGATAAATAATCTGGATCTCGCTGTGCTGCCTGAAAGAACAGGTTTTCACTCCACTCCTCCACTCAATCAATGACAAAGTGTGAGTTACCATGAAATGTTGATTCTGCAGTGGATAGGGACATACACCACAGGGGAGAACTTGAGCAGGTTATAACCATCAAATAAAGCCTCCCTCCCATTCCATAAGATTACTGACGTGAATTCACTTCACATATACAATTCCTTGAATTTTGTTTGGGTGGGGTCCCAGTACCCGATGCTTTATGCTCCATTTTAGTTTTGAGTACAGAGAGTATATATTTCCCACTCTCCTTCCACCCAAAATAAATCCAAATGGTTTGTTGGATTTGTGGTCCTGTTCTAATCTGATCCATTCTCCTGATTTTCTTTGCTTCTCAACAACAACAAGATTTCATTTATAGAGCGCCTTTCACGTCGAGAGGACGTCCCAAGGCGCTGGACAGTTGGGTCAGGACCCGAGCAGGGGGCAAATGGTCAGGGTGACGGGAGGGAAGGGAGGGAGCGAGGAGGGGGTAGAGAGTCGAGAGGGGAGCTGAAGGCTCGGTCAAAGAGAAAGGTCTTGAGACCGGCCTTGAAGGAGGAAAGGGAGGAGGCGGCGAAGGCACTGGGGGATGGAGTTCCAGAGCCTAGGGGCTGAGAGGCTGAAGGCTCGGCCACCGATGGTAGGGCGGTTCGGGCGGGGGATGCGGAGCAGACCGGAGCCAGAGGAACGGAGGGTAAGGGCAGGTAAGTAGGGGGATAGTAGGTCGGAGACGTAGGAGGGAGCGAGGCCGTGAATGGCCTTGTAGGTGAGGATGAGGATCTTGAATTCGATCCTCTGGGGGATGGGGAGCCAGTGGAGGCGAGCGAGGGTGGGAGTGATGTGGTCGCGGTGTCTGGTGCGGGACAGTACACGAGCTGCAGAGTTCTGAATGTCCTGCAGCTTGTGGAGGGAGGTGGCGGGAAGGCCGACGAGGAGAGAGTTCCCATAGTCCAGCCTTGAGGTGATAAAGGCGTGGACCAGAGTTTCAGCAGCGTGAGGGGTGAGGTAGTGCCGTAGTCTGGCGATGTTTCGGAGGTGATGGAAGGTGGTGCCAGTTGTGGCGTGGATATGAGGAAGAAAGGACAGCTCAGGGTCGAACAGAATCTCCCACTCTACCTCATCATATCGGCCATCTGCAAGAGGCAGAGAGAGACTCACACACTTTCGATAATGTAAGATGCACCACGCACACGTTGCTTAGCGATAATGAGTACCATTTGTTCATGAGGTTAGAAGCTCATATACAAATAGAGAATGGGTTAAGCCTCACCTCCCCACTAAAGAAACAACAACAAATTACATGTACACAGTGCTTTTTCAGTTGGGAGGACAGCCCAAGGGGCAACCAAGGGTTTGCACCCGAGCTGCAAGCTGGAGTCAAGAGGGGAGGTGTTGAAAGATGACCAAAGGCACAGTCGACAAGGAAGGTCTTGAGTCGGACCTTGGAGGCGGCAAGGGGGGGGATGAGATTGAGGGGCTCTGGGATGGATGT